TGCATTGTTCCCCAAGGGGAGATCTATGAGGTGTGACAGTTGTAGCTTATTATGGAGTTAAATCCTGCAATAGGGAAACTAAATAGACGTGCAATGATGGTGATTTTTTCTTCGACGGCAGATGTATAAAACGCTATTTTTTAGGTACTGTTCCGCTTAATATTAGTTTTTAGGACATAGTACTTAGGACTTTAGAGGTACTTGGTGTTAATCTCATTAGTCGGTGTTCAAATCTTGATTACATAGACAAAACAGTCACAAATATTTAATCGATACCTAAAAGCCTGAGTATGTAAAGATATTACACTCAAACTTATCGTGAAAAGTCGAATAGATCAAGAGCCTATTTCCTATATACTAGGGGTAAAATCCGACTGATCAGTCGCGATAGATAGGGCGACCTTTACTATTATAGTTCAATCATCCGTAAATCATAAGATATCAAAGTGGCTTCAGTTTCATAGGCAAATTCTTGTATTACTTCTTTTGATAGGAATATTGGAGCAATGGTTTATTTGAAGACATTACCTCCTTAAGTAGATTTTAGTTTGGTTGATTAGCTACTCCTATAGTAATATGGCATCAAAAATTTACGTCAGTAAATCTTATTTTTTTTTTAATTTCTCCAAAACCCTAACATTCGCCGACGACTACTAATGAGTTTCATTTCCTAATGCTTGCATTCTGAAACCGCTATACCGATTGATGAATTTCGATACGAAACAAATAGGCCCCTGGCTAATTTCGATTCGACACAAAGCGAAGGCTTGCATAATACCGAAGTCAAAAGGACTGCTTGATTGGATGTGCTAATCTCTGGTATCACCAGTGGCAAATGAAAAAACATTTTATGGTCTTTTATTTTCGTCTGAATGTCGATACGGTATTGCATTGGGATTTCCAAAAGGCAACTAATTGCCGATTAGCGATATAATACCTGAAGTAGCGTGTGTGATAGCGTTTGAATAAGCTTTGAGCCTTAAAGAGCAATTAAATCGTTGAACGCCTCTAGCGTAGAACATAGGGTAGACATTATGTGGGTATGTGGGCAATCTAGACGCTTTAAAACTCAATTATCATTCTGTACTTTAAAGGTGTATTTTAAAATTATAATGTTTTCTGGAACCTAGACTCTTATTCGGTACTAAGTAGGTGGACACCCACTTCAGAGCCAACCTTTTGGTAGATATTAATGTGGGTGTACCTACTTATTAAAGTTTATTTAATGTAAAGCAAAAACTTACCTGCGGGAAAATGTCGATAATAGGAAAATAAAATAGTCAGTCCTATGGAATTTCGTGTACTCTTCTTGACGTTTTTTTTTATGGCTTGGATTATGTTCTAGTTATTGTTAACCACCCAAAAACTAACTAACTAATGTCGTGGTGTCCCGGAGGTTAAGACGCCCGCTTCTCATGCATGAGGGTGCGGGTTCGAAACCTGTCAACGGTAAGTACCAATGTGACTTTTTCCAAGTTATAGGTTACACTTATAGTTATACTTTCTAAGATTATTTAGACACCTCTGACAAACGGTGAAGGAAAACATCGTGAGGAAACCTGGGCTTATAATTTCTAATTAGAAGTTTGTCGCCGTGTGAGAAGAGGCTTTGCTCAGCAGTAGTCATTTATAGGCTGTTGGTGATTGTGATTATGGTGACCCAAAAACTAAGCACTATTATTGAAAAAAAATATTGTAAGTAAAAAAATCTGATTCAAGTTCAACACTCAAGTGAATACTTGAGTGTTGAACTTGAATCAGATTTTTAGAATTATTGGTCGAATGACCAATAGTACAAAACAGCAGTTGAAGACCTTTTAAGTTTTATTTCTAAGAGTCTAGTCTATAAAATATCTAAGTTATGTAGTTGGTAAGTACGTATAAAATAATTCAAACATATAGAGGTACATGGATTTTCTTGAATTACTGAATACGTTTCTCTGAAACACGTATACGAAGCCCCGGTAACATTTTACGTTCGCCCCGCAAACATGTACATCGAAGGGATAGACAATAATAGAAATAAAATCAATAAGAATAATATAAAAGATACATGTTTGTTAAATTAGCTCGTTCCTCTTAGTACATAATGTTCCGTTACGTTCTATTTATTAATAAGGAAAATGTCTTCGTAAAAACATTTACTTTTGTCAATTATAATCTCAGGTTCGGTATCCAAATCAGCCTAATTTGTCTGTTGTACTACTAATACGTCTCAAAACTTTAATAACTTTACAATTACTGAGCTGAACAAAAAAAATGGTCGATGACCTCCTCAAAATAAAGCAAACTGTACCTACCTACTTAAAAAAGATTGTCTCCCACTACATGTAACACCATTAAACGAATTAGGTAACACCGTAATAAAACAGGACTGAAATATTAAAAATAACAATGTAGGTACCTACGCTTTTATAGTTTAACTCGTCGAGTACCGGTTTTGTAGACTCAATTATAGAACAATAGGTTACGGTCACCGGTGACCGCTTCGTGTTTGACAGTTTAAAGCCTTATCATTTATCATCATCATCAACAACAAAGTCATCACTCTATAAAGGGGGTTTGCTACAATCAATGAAATTGTAAGTACTTAAAACTTGATTCCCAATCCCGATCCCATCTTGATTCCCCCAATGATTGGCAGACGACCTAAAGCTCGCAGTATGGTCACTAAAAATTTATATTCTCCTGCTATTGTACTATCCAGTGCCCACTGTTTTGGTGTAGCAATTTGCGGTCGAATTGAGGTCCAGAAGACTCTAAAAAATATTGGAAGCAAAACCTGTCGCGAGCACACCTGTTGTTTTTCGACCACAGTCGAGGTAAACTTAAAGTCACCATCCACCTGTTGTGATATTTCTGGACGGGATTTATATATAAAAATTTCGTATTTATAAGAAATGCGTACTGGATTGAGAAACTGATTGAAAATGATTAACCAAATTGTTACTTGCTCATTCATCTCCGTAGGAAACTAAGTTTAAAACGAACACCTAACTTCACTAGAAGACGTACAAAATCGTCTAATATTGGTTTAATTGAAATAAACGGTTCGATTTTATACTTTGCGTATCCAATCAAACAAAGTATTCTTGCAAATTACAATAACTAAAGCAACAACAACCTTCGCTGAAGCGATTCCAAATCACATCACATATCGACTCTGTTGATAGTGATGTGATACCTAAGTGGCCACTGCTAACCAAAGGCCTTCTAAGTCGGAAAAGTTTTAGCATCGAAATCCAAATAAAAATATCCAGCTCCACTAAAATAGCGAAAATAAAATTTCTAAAACTAAATCTACAGGATGATGTTCTAAACAAGTGGATGTTTATTTTATTAGTCATAACAACATTATCTAATTACCTCAGTTTAATTCATTTAAATCTTGTAATGTCATTGACAACTCCTAATACTAAAATTGAATTCACAATATCTTCCTACTACGTGTAAATGGGTTATACCAATATATTTTAAAATACTACCTATGTATATTTCTCTCAGTTTATCCTCAAATTTTGCATGAATTCAAAGCTTTGTACCTATTCAAAATAATATCCAAACGATCTCATTGGCTCGCCACACACGTAGTTAGATTAGTTAAAGGAAAAATTGTCTTATAAATATTTATTTGAAATATATAATTATATTAAATAAATAAATAAACGCTTTATAAATATATAACTTTATCAACGAAAATATTTACAACTTTTATATTAAATATTTTTTTTTGCACTTCACAAACAAGACTAATTCCAACGTCAATGTTTAAGGAAATTCAATATCTAATTCACAATAAAATATTCGTATTTTTGTTCAAAATATCAATGTTATCTAAATTTCTGTCTAAGAAAATAACAGAAAAAAAAACAAGCGCAGAGGAAACACTTTTAGCTCGGCCCCTGTTTTATTTATTTTTAAGAGCTCTTTCAATGACTAGTAAGTATTAGTATTTTTTACTATTGACGGAAATAGAAAAATATTTCTTCTTTCATTAACTAACCCTTCTTAAAATAAACTTCATTAACTAAAAATCGTAACAAATTTCATGAACACAGCGTGCTATTTATTATACACTAATGAAAATGAAATGACAAGAAATGTTATTCATATATCGAATGCATGATAATTACAAACATCACTAAAATAAATGTACGAAAACAGTATCTAATACATTCAAGGTAACATCAAAATACCTAGAGAAAAATTCCCTATTGTAAAAAGTCTTTTTCTATTCGTGGTTTTTCCCAGAACACATTCGTTTGTCAGTTGTTGCTTGTCGAGCACCACTGGCTGTGTTATCCCGTAAATGGAAACTGGCATCTATTTCAAGGAAATTTGTCTAATGTATCTGCATTCAGTATTTATCGCCAGACGAGGAAAGTCCTCTTCGAATAAAATCGAAAGTAATTTTATAAACATCACAATTGTATGTCATACGTAAGGGTTTATTTTTTTCTTTAAGATAAATAAAAAATACACGGTATCCTATTAAAAATAATGACATCTATTGTAAATAGTTGTGCGATAGCTCAAGTTGTAGTATTAAAGGTACGTTTACATGTACCTATTACAAGTGCTTGTTATGTGTCATGTATACAATAATCATAGTCCTAGTACTTGCCTAGTTAGTTTACATAAAACAGACGAACTATTAAACCACTGGGCAATAAATATAAAATTTCTAGAAAATATTATGCACGTCTGAATGTAAAATTTTAGATGACTTTATTTTTATGGCTTGTCCTCCGCCAAAGATCGACGATGACGGTCCCCGATGCATTAATACTGAGTTATAAATAATAAAACTCTGAATTTCACATTGTAACTAAAAGCCTGAAAATGTTTAACTTAACTTCAAACTATCTGACAGCGAAAACTTTTTGCACCTACAAGTTGACTTGAAGAATTTTTTTAAGAGTTGTCAAAACTGTTAAGATCGTCCACTTGTTCAAACATTACCACATCATACATCAAAATCAATTCAATTTGAAATTTACCTCCTGTTTCGCGGCGAACTGGCAACGTCGCGAAAGGTACGCTGTCAGCGAACGCGCAAAGCATTCAACTGTTCGTACATGTAACGCGCGACTGTCGAGCGGCAGACATCTGAGGGGCGCTGTGCGAGGTTGCCACGCCTCTGCATACTAATCCACCAATAACATGTGCGCACGCTCCGAATGTGATTTGAATTCAAAACTTTTGTTCAGTATTAGCGTCTCTTTCATTTTTAGATTAATCGCGTAGGTTTGAGTGGGATGTAGCAATGAGCGTTTGGTGGTTCTGCTCGATATTTTGTGTTGACCACAGTTTGAAAGTGACATATCTTGTACGATTAGATACCGTATTTTGAGCCTAGTTTTTTGACGAATACGGGATATTGCATCTCGTTGCGTCTTAAAAGTTTAAGTAAGTTATTGAATAAAGCGTTACACAAGTTACTGTAAATACAGCTACGGTTTGCGGTGGAGGATCGATTATTCAAAGAACAGAGGCCTGCGAGACGCGGTATTTAGATTCGTTTAGAGGAAAAATATTTATTTGTTATTCGATAATTTCTCAGCGCACGACTTGGATCACTTTATTCTTTGCCAAGCAAAAATATTTATATTTTTTCAAAGTTATGTTTTTTTGTTTTGTAAAAATAATTATAATACGATGGAATTTTCGCAATGTTTGTATGACAGTAACAAAGAAGGTAACAAACAAAATATTTAACTATTTTTGCTCATATAATGTAATCAAAGTAACCACATTGATAATATTTTTATCATTTTAAACTAATTTTAATACCAGCATCCCAAACAACAGAACACAAGAAACGTAACAAAAGTATTTTATAGTAAAGAAATAAATTATAAGAAATACCACCTACATAATAAAGAAATACAAACTTTTTCTAAAAACAGCTCTATCTCATATTCAGAAGTAAGTGTATTCACTCAACTTAGTTAAACTATAACAGCTAGCTTCCCTGTCGCATCGTGTACAAGTCCCGACGATTCCCCTCGTATTCCGATAGAGGGCGATACAGGTCGCATCTCAAAATCACAGCCCAAAGCGTTCTCTAAAATAAACACACGCTGTATCTAATACGACTTCTCTTACACCTATGGGTATTTTTATGACGCAAATTGCAATGTAGTATTATTTTAATTTTCCTTGTTATTATTAAATTGATGTTTTAAAAATAAATTTGACTGTCGAATATTTGACTAAGTATTTATAGACAATTTTGTGAGAATATTAAAAAAAAAAAACAAAAAAAAAATAGTCCGCAAAAATATCACAAAATAAACTCTCAATTTCTTTTGTTTATACACGTAAATAAATACCTATGTATAGTATGTATGTGTGAGCAGGTATGTACGAATCAATATTGACGTTTACAACATTAGAAGGGGTCGAATCGACCCTTCACGGGATCCTTGACAACGGCCTTGCGTACTGAAGCATCAAACGCATTCCATTTTAAACTAGCATTGTAAAACAGTTACTTATCTAGAATAACATTAAATGGGTTCCTCATAAACACTGTGGAATTATTTCTATGTATATTTGGCTAATCTTATCAGAATGGTATAAAATTTTACGAGTTTTTGTAGTAAGGGGTGGGCTCGGAGAGGGTCGCGTGCTCGGGATCGCTCGGGCTCACGAGTTCGCGACCATGCGTACTACGCGGGTACGAGTTACAGCGTTTAGCTAGATATAACGTACTATGGTTTTTACTCGACGAAGGGGAAGGCAGAAGCACATATGAAATGTAATAGCCAGTTTTATTCTATTATATTATAATATATTATAAATCCCACATATTTATGATGTTAATAATACCTAGATATTGTCATATACTTACTACCACTACTTACTTTTGAGAATACGCCTTGTTAAATACCAAATCTTACATATACTAAAACTTCGATCGGACCGGGAATCGAAACCGAAACTCCTTGTTCAACAGTCGTATAACCAACTCGACAGATGAATCAAAAGTGGATTAAAAACATGTACCTACATAGAACATTTTGGTTTATGTCGACAATTTAAAATGCTATACAACATTTTTTTAATGTCTTTATTGCATTCCATATTTTACAATTTTACATAGTAGGTACAATAATAATTATGTATAGGCTTATAGTACAAGTCAATATTGAGTTCGATTCCCATTTCCTTTAATTGGGTCACATACACACTTATAATTAACTTCGACACGTAACATTTAATCGCTTTAAAGTGAAGAACCTACATTTTAAAATAAAGTCATTTCGTGATGCGATCTGGAAAAAATATAATGATTTAATATTGTCAATAGTCAATTATTAGTTATTGTGTTTTTTCTAGAACCATATTTTAAAGTCTAGATTACAATCTCAATTACGATCTAGATATTGATTTTCCTTTATAAATGAAGAAAAATCATGAATTAGGTGATAAACGATTGTCATTAAACTGTCAAACACGAAGCGGTCACCGGTGACTGCAACCTATTGTTCTATAATTGTGTCTACAAAACCGGTACTCGACGAGTTAAATATAGAAACGAGAAGAATGCTTAATAAATGTAGGTGTAATGAAAGTGATGACTTAACTGACTGATTGGCCGGCGCCAATGAACCAACCAATCAGAGCGCCGGACGAGGTTTCATTTCGATTACTTTAAACGTTAGTATTAGTATTAGTATTTTCCACTGAGTATTAATAAACCGACAAGGTCACTTATTCGACTACAATTTTCCATGTAAAAGCGACCTACTTACAACAAAAATAGAAAATTACTTAGCAAGACTAACGTATAACATAGGCAGGAAGACTTAAAAATAAAACGAAAAATGAATAACAAAACTTCATTAATGTTAGCGATCTGAAGAACATTTTCAACCTTCGCATATGATTTCTTAGAATAGATATATTTAATATCATTGTTGACGGATTAGTATAAGTTACCCAAGATTTTAGGAGCGAAAGATTCACGAAGGACAAATATTATCGGCCCATCAAATATAAAAAAAGGACAATGACACCAAAACTACCAAATTTTTTAAATAAATCTCTTCAAACGTAATGCACTAGACGAACCTCGAAGTAATTTAAAGAAAGTTTAATTCATATTAAAATAAATGTCAAAATATTTACAATATCCAGTCGTTATTTCAGTACCTTTTTATTATACAGTCTTTCATTTGTACTGCATTATGCATTGCAAATTCTATTTCTGCTTACACATAGAGCGACGTCAATATATTCCATTTAAAAATATTTAATCCTTCGACCTCAACTGCAGATATAATATACAACGTGTCAATAATAGGGACTTAGCATCAACATTTTAATGGTACACCGTTAGTCGCATGGCATTATGGCACTAACTACGACCATCGTTTCTGTTTTCTTTACTCTATGCCAGTGTTTCTCAAACACTCCTAAGGTTAAAGTTAACTTCGTTTTGTGTTTGTAGAGGTATGGTCCACTGGGGACCACGTTAATAGGTGAACAATGACACCTCAGGTCGAAAATTAGTAGCAAACCACTTAATAAAATTCTGAATTGCAACATATCTACCCTTTTTGAGGGGGAAAAATCATTCTATTACTTCTCCCGCCTTGGGTGAGGCGAAAGAGAGTGTTCGACTCTTGACTAAAAATCACACCGTTCCTACTTCTGCTTTAAGTCGAAGTCCCCGCTGCCAGCTCCGCAACATTCCCACCCTGGTTTAATTATATTCGCTATTAACAACCAGTATCTCGCAAATACTAAGAAAAACTTGATATTTTATTACTTATGTAAGTATATATTATTATTATTCAAATGAATAAGGAACCAGCTTGGGTTTAAAACTATTGGCCAGGAAAAGGTAATGTAAAAATTACCAAGTTATAATGGCGTAGTCTTTGGAAAATACTTGCATATGTACATAGATATGTCCCCTTACACCGAAGGATTGTAGCATAGGACCTATGTTCATAGTGAATATGATTCAGTACTCCACACGTTAGACAATTAGTTCCCTCTGGTATTGACCCGAGGGAACTAATTGTCTGACCCAATGGTCATATCGATGGACCATCCGGTTAGGGCCGAGGCATATTGCATTACAGTTTGGAGTAGTGCATCCAATTACAATGTCATTAGAGCTGAAAGAGCTCAAAGGGCTGATCTTGAAGATATGCTACGTAAATCATTTCGATATCCAATCTGACAGTTCTACTCTTGCTAAAAAGTCCTTACAGTTCGCCAGCTATATGCCTATACTCCGAACAGTACTTGAAAGACACGGAAGCATCGTATGATCTGATTCTAGGAAGCGTTTTAGTATGATCACAAACGACACGCGACATATTATTGGCTTCACTGTATGATTACCCTAACTGAACAATATGGTCTCCAACAGGAATTCCTAACACTATTCGCTACGTTGCTTTATTTTATATTGAATCGTCAATACTAGATCATTTTTTTTTAAGATTTTATTAGATATGTTATGACTGTTATTCTGTATCTAGCATCTAGTTTTTTGAGAAGAAAGGCTAGGAAGTGTGACAATTCTCATCTCACAATCGTCGTGGTGGCCCGGAGGTTTAAGACGGCGGCTTCTCTTGCATGAGAGTGCGGGTTTGAAACCTACCAACAGTAAGTATCGATGTGAGTTTTTTCGAGTTATGTATACCTTTTAAGAATATTCAGACATCACTGACAAACGGTGAAGGAAAACATCGTGAGGAAACCTGGGCTTGTAATTTCTAATTATAAGTTTGAAATCGCCAACCCGCATTGAGAAAGCGTGGTGATTAACGCTCAAACCTTCTCCGTGTGAGAAGAGACTTTGCTCAGCAGTGGGTTGTTTATAGGCTGTTGATGTGCACCATCATCTATACTTACTAATAAAGCAAATACCTATGTATGTAAATATTACAATGTAAGTACAATTAAAATTAACTACTTTTCTTGTCCAATCATGTTTATATCGCCTTCGTTATCGATTCGTATGGAAACGTTTGTTGGTTTTATTTGATTGGTCACAAATTCGTTTCACGTTTGAGAAAAACTGCAGCACGAATACAGAAAATTTCACATAGAA